TCCCCATGAATTCATATATGAATATTGCAAGAAGAATGTAACATAAGACAAAAAAGAAATATATATTAATGGATTGATCATCTGCTACGCTGCCTGGTTTCGGTGGTTGACAAACTTATTCTATCCATGCAGGTTACTAGGCCCGTAACCTATGAGAACATAAAATTAAGGTTTGATTTGGAAGGGCAAAAGGTATCCGTTTGCCTCTTAACTTTTTGAATTTGAGAGTTTTTATCTTTCATATTATAATATATGAATTTTTACCTTTCATATTTTCGAGTTTGAGGAAATGAGACAAAATTTAACGGTAAAAAATCACGTGCGACACGTGCATGTTAATTTTCGTTATACATTGACGTGTCAATGCCAACTCAAAATTCTTTTAAATGTTGGCAAGTCCAGCTCAGATTTTATGATAATAACTAAAAAATAATAATAATAATATAATTTTTTTTCTTTTTTTGTTTTTCCTTCTCCTTTCCCTTCTCTCTCCCTTGGAACCCAACAGAATTCTTTGTTGAGAGAAGCCTCCATGGAACCCACGCCGGAACCCAAGCGCTGGGTTCCATCGAACCCAAGCCTGGGTTCGTTGGAACCCCAGCGCCTAGGTTCGGTGAAATTGGGATTTGGAAGTTTGATTGGAATGGGATTATTGGGTGGTGGAGGGTGGATGTGGGCACACATGATCTTGATGTCTGTTTAGGAGAGCAGAGAATATTGGGAAAGTGTTGGAAATGGGATGGGGATGTTCCCTAATGGAGGGGCTTGGTGGGTGTGGGGAGCTACGAGTCTTGTCCGGATGTCCCTTGCATTTGCATTTGCCTCGTTTGCATTTTCTTTTCTCCTTTTTTAGGATTCCGATTGAATGAAGTTTGGTTGGATTGTGCAGTGACGGCGATGGATAGTGGCCGGAGAGCTCTGCAATTCCTTGGATTGGACGAAGAAAAGAGAAACACCGGTTTTCAGGTCAGTAGGGATGAAATATCAGTCAACATTTAACAAAATTTTAAGAAAATTTAGCTTAGATTTTGAACAGCTTCTCGATTCTCGAATTGCAGGATTTGAAGGTCGATGTTATCATAACTGATTATTGTGTGCTTGGAATGTCTAGTTACGACTTGCTTAAGAAAATTAAGGTTAGAAATTCA